TTTTTTTGTGGTACGGGGGATTGAACTCGGGACCTTGCGCTTTCGAGGCAGGTGATGGAACCACTGAGCCAAATCCCCGGGCCGATTCATTTCTGCTCTTAAGTTTTTCCTTTGATTCTTGAAAAGAAAGCCTGAATAAATGTCATGGAAGTTAATCAAATCAAAGCCTTTAGGGGCAAATTCCTGCTCCCAGCAAAGGGCTTTTGCATTTTAAAGGACCTTGTGTAGTGAAAGAAGGGTGCAATCTCCAATCTCAGAAGCAAGCAAGCCTCTTCCCTCCAACTAGTACTACCCTCCCTGCCCCCTCTCTTTAAAAGAGTGTTCTTCAGCTTCTCTCCAGTCTGCCCCTGAGTGAAAGCCTCCTGAGTTCCTTCCTCTGGTCCTGCACACACCCCCAAACCTGGACACTCTCCCTCACACCCACACTACAACCCACCTGAGCAGAGCTGCACATTTCCTCTAGGCTTCCTGACTCCCTTCCTGTCCCTGCAGGGCAGAGGCTCAGAGAAGCCAGAGGCCGGAGGGTCCTGTTCTGGTCCCAGGACCTGGGGACACCCACCACCCTGGGCCAGGAAGAGGATGGATGTGGACTTGACCCCAAGAGTCTGGCCTGGCCATGGCAGCAGCTCTGCAGAACCAAGGCAAGCACTGGGGCTGGAGGTGGGGAGTGGGGGAGGGATAGCCCAAAGGCCAATGCCTAAGGGTCCTGCTGTCTATCCAGCCCTCCTTCATCCTATGGAGGGTCTTTGTGTTGAAGACTATCTACTGCCCACCTAGTAGCTACCCACTATCTCTTCTAATGCTCTGAGGCTTAATGGGCTGGGGGAGGGCTACAAGGGCACCTCAGCACCTGCACTTTGAGAGCTGGGGCTGTCCTGAATGGACATGGGTGAGTGTGACACCTGCTGCCAGGATCTGGTGGGATTCATACTGGTTTAGCAGTGCAGCTTCATCCATCACCTTAGCCCGTGCTGTCAAGTAGACTGGCATGCCCTCATTCATGCTGTCCCTTTCTGCCACAAGCAACCCTGGGCATCCAGTGCTATTCTGAGTCTCTGGAGAGGCTCACCGAAGTCAGGTGCCACTGGTGTACAGCTGGATGGGAGGTGAGCTGCCAGCTCTGGAGCCCCAAGTAAGGACTTCTGGACTTGCATGGGAGCTATGAAGGATGAGTGGCTGGACATCAAGGGTGAGCAATGTCCAGGAGTAGATATGATGATGACATTAGAAGTGACTTGGAGGGGCATCTTTTTTTCTTTTTTCTTTTGGTACCGGGGACTGAATGGAGGACTTTGGGCTTGTGAGACAGGTGGCAGAACCACTGAGCTAAATCTCCGGCCCAAAATACATCTAGCTTCTCTCTCTTTTTTTTTTTTTTTGGTACGGGGATTGAACTCAGGACCTTGCACTCGAGAGGTAGGCGGTGGCACTACTGAGCCAAATTCCTGGCCCCTCAAGGGGCATCTTAATGGGAGCATGGAGGTGGGCAACTGACCAGATGCATCAATGGTAGGTGACATGGGGGAAATACCACCAGGAAGAGTCCTGAAAGGATGTGGGCACCAGGGATCCATGGGAGGCTTAAAGCAGAGAGCACTACAGGGGAGGGTTGTCACTAAGGTGTGAGAGATGGATGGGGTGCGGGGAACCCTGGGCAGCAGGCAGTAAGCCTCCTGTTTGTAAAATGAAGATTGCCTAAGTTACCTATGAGGTGTCAGGACAGGGTCTTGGGTTGTCATGGAATGGTAGGTGAGTTCTTCAGGAACACTGATTCCTGGTGCACCTATCCTTTTCTTTGGGGAGCAGCTGATTGAGACTGAAGCCTGGGAAGGGCCCTTGACTCTTGAACAGTGCTGGTTCTAACAGGGGTAGTGCTGGCCAGAGCCAGTGTAGGGTGTAGGGGCTGCTGCCAGGCAGGGCTGTGTGTCCCTTTTGCCCTTGGGTGCCTGGGGCAGTGGCCCTTGTCTTCTGCAGCCTGTGATGTGTAGGTTATATGTATTATCCCATGAGGCTTGCAGGGTCTGGACCCCAGACCTCAGCAAGTGATGCCATGGAGACAGTGGTGGGGCCACAGGTCAGGACATGCAGAATCTTCTCTCTCAGGCTGGCCTGAGAGGGGGACCACTGGGTAGGGATGGGAAGGAAAGACCAACCTGGATCCTGGATGGTGTCTGGGAGAAATCAAGGGAGAAGTGTTTGCATCCCGGTAGGGCCTTGGCCAGCCCCAGGCCACAGCACTGGAGACCGTGGCTCCTGCCAGGTGACAGCCAGCATTTATTGGATGCCTGTTGTATGCCCTGGTCCTGTCTGAGTCCCTACTGCTCAGAGCAGACCCCCAGCCCACCTTCTCAGGGTCCTGGGCAGCTGGGGGCAGTGGTATTAAGAAAGGGGAAAGTGAGGGGCTGCATGTCGCTAGGGGCATGGCTCCTGATGAGCCTGATCCTGTCCACCGACATCTGTTTCTGTCCTGCCGTGAGCAGCGAAGAGTGAAGGGCCTCCAGTACTGAGCTGACCAGGCGGAAAGACCCGCCTCCCGTAACCCTGGCCCCGCTGGACTGCTAAGGGGTGGGAGGCAGCTGGGGCGGGCCGTCCGCTCAGTGTGCCAGCCCAGCGCTCTTTGATGGTTGCAGACCTAGGGTCTCTCCCAGTGGTACTTGCGCCAGACCACCCTCTCGAACTAAACCGTCACCGAGTGCGCGCGCGGTCAGCAAAGTTCTGGTCTCGCCCTACCTTGGCTGAAGCGGCCCGGCCTACGCTGCGCCTCTACCCCGTAGCCCCGTCCCACTCTCGAGACCACGCCCTATCGTTTTCCTGTTCCCCGCCCCCCACACCGCGGCCCCGCCCCCGCACTTCCGGGCGGTGCCGGCGGGGGCGCTCGGACCTGGGCTTCCGCGCTCTGGGCTCAGGCGCTGGGCTCAGAGAAGCGATCGCGGCTGCTGCAGCCGCCGCCTCACGAGCCCGTCCGAGTTGGGCCAGAGCCTTGTCCCCGCCGAGCAGGCCGCTGAGAGCGGGCGGCCGGGCCTCGGCGGTGCCCCGCGGCCTGCCTGTGCTGGCCTCCGGGTCTCCGGTCGCTGAGCCGCTGCAGCCACTATGGGGGCCGCCCCGGGCCGCGCCCCCGCCGGGGCCCGCCCGCCGCACCACCGCTGAGCTCCTGGGCCGTACAGCACCGCGCCGCGCCTCCACAGCCGCCGCGCGCCGGTGAGTAGTGCCGAGCCAGGTGGGCGCGCTCCCGCGGCGCGGAGGGCCTGCAGTCCGCTGCCGCCGAGGTAGGCCGCGCTAGGCCGGCGGGCGGGGACCCGGAAGAGGCTCTCGGGGAGGCGTGGAGGAGCTCGGGCTCTGCGGGGCCCGAGTGTGTGCAGGGGCAATAGTGTGCAGGAGCGCGGGGTGTGCGGGGCAAGGGAATGTGCAGGGAGGCCTGAAGGAGTGCGGGCTAGGTAGGCTCCGGAGGGTGCGTATGTGTACTGGGAAATGTGCGGTTCCAAAGGTGTGCTCGCAGGCCTGAGGACTTGACTGGTGCTCTAGGAAGTTGTGTACTTTGAGAAGCTGTGAAAGAGTGTTTGTGCAAGGGGGGGGGGTGTTAATGGGTTGTGGGAGGCGAGGGCCTGGGCATTGGGGTGTGTGAATAGGGAAGGCAAGAAGACCCAGGATTTTGAGAAAGGAGAGGGTGTGCACCTAAGTATGTTTGTTGCGGTGTAGGATGTTTGCTGAAGTTCCTGGGCCTCTGACATGTTTAGAGGTTGAGTGGGATATAGGGTAGCTGCTAGGGTCAGGCAGTGTGTGCAATGCTCCTTCCTCTCCTTCACATCGCCCCCACCCCTCGAAAATGTAGGAATGAATCAGTCTGCAACCCAAGTAGGGCACAGTCAGGGTCCAGGCTGTGGTTTGTCTGTTAGAGTATCCAATTTTCCTGGCGTCCATCCGCCTTCACGTTGATGCCTTGCTGCCAAAACACAGCTCTCTTGGGGTTAGGCTTTAGATTCTGTCCTCACCAAACACTTTGAATTCAGCCCCCCATGAAACCAGAGCTGCACATTTTTAGCTCAGCATGAAGATAGTAGAGGAAAGATACATCAGTCCTCTAGGAATTTTTCTCAGCCTATCTCCAAGATAACCTAAAAAAGATTCTTATTTTGTGTGTGCATGTGCTTGCACCCCACCATTTTGCTCACATGCATGTTACCTGGACCCGCAGGCCCTGTTTCAGAGAATACATGCAGTGTAACCTTGACTACCCAAGATAGCAAGCACTTACAGGTTTCAGTTTTAGGAACTTCTATTCAGGGACAAAGGTGGGAAAGGACATAGCATAGTTTTTGTTTGATTTTCAGCAGGTGTTGACTTGTCTTAGATTTTTTTGCTTCAGAGAAACTAAGTGGACTTTTTTAGGCTACATTGATCATTGAGAATTTAAGTAATGGGGGAATGGTTTACATGTGATCCTTGAAGAGTTTATAATCAACTGGGCTGGGAATTTAGCTCAGTGGTGCTGCCTGCCTTGCAAGCTCAAGGTCCCGAGTTCAATCCCTGGTACCAAAAAAAAAAAGTTTAATCAACAAACAGGAAAATGTTAGTCACTTGGCTACATCCACACTCCATGTAAATCAGAACTTTGAAAGTTGTGTTTGAGTAGAATAAATACACATACACACCTTTAGGATTGAGCTTGCTGCCATGGAACCCTGGGGTGTGTGCCTCAGGAAATTTAAATGTGGTATCACACTTGTAGATTTCCTTCATAGAATCACTTTATTGATGGTGGTTACAGGCTGTGGGCCAGATTTGGTACTTATGGGCTTTGGACTCTAACCCAAATTAACATAGCTGCTTTATGTGAAGGGTGCATGTGTGTGCCCTGAACACTAGGTGTGTTTCCCTGTGGGAGCCTAGAGATTTTGGGAATTGGAGTGTTTCAACATCAGTAATTTGTGGGGGTATTCACATGTTTTCAGAGTCACTGAAGGTCTTCTGTCAGTTGACATACAAAAATAGATGTGAATTGTGAGACATGCTTCCTCTGGCCTCTGAAATGTAGTTTGAAATTATTAGGATGGACTTGGTTCATACATGACATAAAATGTGAGATTTGAACGACAGCTGCAGATCTTTAGTCAAGGGCTGCATTTTGAATTTGCTGCTGTTTCTGGAGAGTTCAGCATCTGTAAAAAGCTAGTGTCTGGTGTCTAGGGTAAGTGGCTTCCATTTATCAGTGAAGTAAATGTTCCAGGTCCCCCTTGGTTGCAAGACTGTGTTAGGTATGGAGGACCTTGCTGAATGATTTATGTGGAAAAGGAACACCTGAGGAGAGCAGCAGTAACTAGCCTCTGATTTGAACCCTGTCTGCTTAACTGCTTTTCAGTTTCCAGTGACTTGGTTCTTTCTCAAGGCTAATGACTGCTGTGTGTCTGTATGACTAAGGTCAGGTGGTTTAGGGGCGCAGGCCCTCTTTTCTTGGGGTGGGAGCCTAGACAAAACAATGCCAGACATCATGAGCTGGTGTGGAGCTGCAGGATGCTCATTCCGTTCTAACAGGTTCTTGGAAAGTGACCTCAGTTGCGGGAGAGGAGTGTGTGAGCAGCAGGGGGCCATAGCCCACAGGGCCTTGACCTTAAGAAACAGGCTGGCCCCACTGAGGCCGAAATGATAGCCTACCTAAGAAGTTATTAGCTGCAGAGATGCTATTTAGGATGCATGATTGTGACCTACCCTCCATCTACACATGTGTCTTCCTTCTAGCCATCAGCAGCTCTTGGCAGGTGAAGGGTGTACAGTGTCAGACTAGGTGTTGAGGGGAGATTTCATGGAGGCTGGGGCCCAGCAGTGTAGAGTGGTGTTGGCTTTAGGGATTTATTTTGTACTCGGTGGCTTATTCAGTGCTTGCTTCAAGCATTTAGTCCTGACGTGTGTAAAACTCCTTCTCCATCCCTCTGTTGCCAGGACCACTTGCATCATGGCAAGCTGTATTGCAGTCTCCTCCTTGGCTAAATTGAGAGGCATAACCAGAGCTCATGGCTCTGTGGGCTCCTGTAGAATGTAGGAGGAAGGACCAAAAGACCATGGGATAGAAACCAGGGCAGTGCCTTTTGCACAGTCCTGCAGACTTGCAGGAGCAGTAGCATAAAAACTGCAGTTGGGTGACCTCTAAGAGGCTGAGTGGTTTGGTTTCACCTTATGGAGTTAATCATATGAGCTACCGGGCATGGTGGCACACACCTGCAATACCAGCACTTGGGAGGCTGAGGCAGGAGGATTGCTGCAAGTTCAAGTCCAGCCTGGGCTACATAGTGAGTTCAAGGCCAGCCTGAATTACATAGTAAGATCCTGTCTCCCCCCCCCCCGCCAAATTGTGTGAGCTGTATGGCTCTTTAGATAAAAAGCACACTTGGATTTGGTTTTCATTATTTTCTGTACCTTCTCTGTCCCTTAAAGTCCCCAGTCACCATCAAAAGGGTATCCATATAATAAGCATTGACAGCTAAGTACTGTACAGCTTTCTCATTTCTAAAACTGTCTACATTAATGACAGCAGAATGCCTTTACATGTGACCGTGTCTGTTACTTGGTCTGTGGAATTGAAGGTTACCCGTGATTAACTGCTCTTTCAGGTGTGTGTTGAGAGCAGGAGAGACACCTTGCTGTGTGCCTGCACATGTTGCAAGACATATCAGGTGTGAAGTGATGGAGTAGGCTGAAGACATAGGCTATGGGACAAGGAAGTTGCATACCTGCCTTCAGGTCTGTCATATCCCTATTTTCTATCTCTGAGAATTGCCAGGGCAGGGAGGATGACTGTCCTCACTTATGAGGTACCAGCTCACTGCTTTCATTCTTCCAGCTTTCTTCCTTCCTAGTCACTCAGCTCTTCAACTAGGATGAGAGATCTTCAGACCCTTGGTCTCTCTGTGAGGTTTTCTCAGAAAGAAGGACACTTGAGGGGAGAGGTACCCTCTGTGCTCTTGGCATTCACTTAGTGTGAGAGGCATTCTTGTATTTGTAACAATTTCCAGAAGTTGTCTTAATGTAGAACAAGCTTTGTGACCAGAATGTCTCTGTTGGAAATTTACAGTGAGTTTCTGCTTTGAGTGTGAGTGGGAGGGCATCACTGTGAGCTTTGTCTCTAGGGAACCTCTGGTTGTGATTCCGTGGACCACCTTTCCTAATCCTTGTCCTCTTAATGGTTTCAACAGGACAGATTGATTCCCTTTGGAGCTGTAAGTACTGATGTATTAGGGTGCAGCGCTCATTGTTCATTGACGCACAGAGTCCCAAAATGAATATCCAGGAACAGGGTTTCCCCTTGGACCTTGGATCGAGTTTCACTGAAGATGCCCCCCGACCCCCAGTGCCTGGTGAGGAGGGAGAACTGGTGTCCACAGAGCCAAGGCCTGTCAGCCACAGTTTCTGTCCTGGGAAAGTTGCCAGCATTAAAGGTGAGACCTCGACAGCCACCCCAAGGCGCTCAGATCTGGATCTGGGGTATGAGCCTGAGGGCAGCGCCTCCCCCACCCCACCGTACTTGAGGTGGGCTGAGTCGCTGCATTCCTTACTGGATGATCAAGATGGGATCAGCTTGTTTAGGACGTTTCTACAGCAGGAGGGCTGTGCCGACCTCCTGGACTTCTGGTTT